CCCTTTCCTTGGCTTATCCCAATGTCCTATTTTCCCCACCTAGAAAGTTCCCCACATTCTCCCTGTGAGGGCCTCCCATCTGAGGCAGCTTTGACCCCAAGGGCGGAAGGGAAGGTTCCCAGCCGCCTGGCACTTGGCAGTCGTGGAGGCTACAATGGACGGGGTTGGGGCTCCCCAGGGCGGCCTAAGAAGAAACACACAGGTATGACAGCCTGTGGGATGACATGGAGGGAGGGATTTCCTGAAGTGTGAATTCTGTAACTTCTAGCTTCTGAGACTGATTTGTCTTGGGGAGTTAGGCATGGCCAGCATTGACAGCAGTGCCCCTGAAACAACATCGGATAGTTCCCCCACCTTAAGCCGGAGGCCACTTCGAGGGGGCTGGGCCCCCACCTCCTGGGGCCGAGGACAGGACAGTGACAGCATTAGCAGCTCTTCTTCGGACTCTCTGGGCTCCTCATCCTCCAGTGGAAGTCGCCGGGCCAGTGCCAGTGGAGGGGCCCGGGCAAAGACCGTTGAAGTTGGCAGGTCAGTGGAAGAAATACTCCTCTCATCTGGCCCACCCTCAGAGTCACATCCCTGGTGTAATCCAACTATTGTTCCCCCAGCGACACCACTTATCCTGCTCTTTCCTGCCTACCTGGACACCCATTTCAGAGAAACCCCAATCCCCGTCCCTACCCCATTGCCCCCTCAGGTACAAGGGCCGCCGTCCCGAGAGTCATGCCCCCCATGTACCCAATCAGCCATCAGAGGCAGCTGCACACTTCTACTTCGAACTGGCGAAGACGGTGCTGATCAAGGCAGGGGGCAACAGCAGCACTTCCATTTTCACACATCCATCTTCCTCAGGGGGCCATCAGGGTCCTCACCGCAACCTGCACCTTTGCGCCTTCGAGATTGGGCTTTATGCCCTTGGCCTGCACAACTTTGTTTCTCCCAACTGGCTCTCACGTACTTATTCTTCGCACGTTTCCTGGATTACAGGTAAACCCAGTATCTTGATTTGGGAATGGGTTGGGGATTAATTGATAGAGAGTCTTATCCTTGTGGAGTTACTGATTTGATAGAAGACACCATACTAACCACCCCCCCCCTCTTTTTTTTTTTTTGCTCCTTTCCTTGAAGGTCAGGCAATGGAGATTGGTAGTGCAGCCCTGACTATACTGGTAGAATGCTGGGATGGACACCTGACGCCCCCTGAGGTTGCATCCCTGGCTGACAGGGCATCACGGGCACGAGACTCCAATATGGTGAGGGCAGCAGCGGAGTTAGCCCTAAGCTGCCTGCCTCATGCCCATGCATTGAACCCCAATGAGATCCAGCGGGCCCTGGTGCAGTGCAAGGAGCAGGTATTTCTACAGGCAATCTGGGGACTTGCTTTCAGGTATCTAGGAAGGGACATGGGGAAAACTAACAGCCCAGCTCGATTTCCAAATCTTAAAGTTCACAAATTTTCTAGTTTGTGCTATTATGGTGACACTTGACATATTAAGGCACTTTCACATCCATTACTTCTTTTGCCTTACGACTCTGAGGTTAGGATTATTCCTGTTTTATAGATAAGGAAATGGAGATCTATAGGTTAGGGACCAAGGTGGTCACCAGGTTGGAATACTTGGGGAAGGCCTTGGGGAGATGGTGGGAACTGGATGGGAGGGAGTGGCTAGGTTAGTTTGGAACTGGGACTGTAAGTAGTTTGGAACTGGTCACCAAGTGTTTGTTCAGTGTCTGTGTGAGGCATTCATTGCTCTGACTCTGACCTCTGATGCCTCCCTGGGAACCAGCCAACTCAAAGGAAGATGTTGGAATGTCATTTACAACCATGCCTGAGTAAAGCCCCTCCCCTTAACTTCTGTGCCCCTTCCTTCCAGGATAACCTGATGTTGGAGAAGGCCTGCATGGCAGTGGAAGAAGCGGCTAAGGGTGGGGGTGTATACCCTGAAGTGTTGTTTGAGGTTGCTCACCAGTGGTTCTGGCTATATGAGCAAACAGCAGGTGGCTCATCCACAGCCCGTGAAGGGGCTACAAGCTGTAGTGCCAGTGGGATCAGGGCAGCTGGGGAGGCTGGGCGGGGGCTGCCTGAGGGCAGGGGGGGCCCAGGCACTGAGCCGGTTACAGTGGCAGCAGCAGCAGTGACAGCAGCAGCCACAGTGGTGCCAGTCATCTCAGTGGGGTCCAGTTTATATCCAGGTCCAGGACTGGGGCATGGTCATTCCCCTGGCCTGCACCCCTACACTGCTCTACAGCCCCACCTGCCCTGCAGCCCTCAATACCTCACCCACCCAGCTCACCCTGCCCACCCAATGCCTCATATGCCCCGGCCTGCCGTCTTCCCTGTGCCCAGCTCTGCATACCCACAGGTGAGACCAGTGTTTTGTTGGGGGGTTGGGCACGTGGGAGAACATTAGGAGTTCATGTGGGGTTGGAGTGTGGGGTACTCTGGGAGAATAATAGGACTGTTTTGGTGAGGTGGTGGGGGTCTGGGGGGACTCAGGCCAACCAAGATGAGAAATGTAGGGATACCCACTTGTGGGATGAAGGGGGAGAACCACATCTTAATATAATTTCCTACTCTTTTCCCTGTCTCTAGGGTGTGCATCCTGCCTTCTTGGGGGCTCAGTACCCTTACTCAGTGACTCCCCCCTCACTTGCTGCCACTGCTGTGTCTTTCCCCGTCCCTTCCATGGCACCCATCACAGTACATCCCTACCACACAGAGCCAGGGCTCCCACTGCCCACCAGTGTGGCCTGTGAGTTGTGGGGACAGGGAACAGGTGAATGGAGGGGAGGTACACTGGGCAGGGGAGATGGGGGGAGGAACCCTCTCCATCCCTCTTTGGGCTGTGAATTCCTCATATAGCTTTCATCCCACCCTCAGTGAGCAGTGTCCATCCAGCATCCACGTTTCCAGCCATCCAGGGTGCCTCGTTGCCTGCTCTGACTACACAGCCCAGCCCTCTGGTGAGCGGAGGGTTTCCACCACCCGAGGAGGAGACCCACAGTCAGCCTGTCAACCCACACAGCCTACACCACCTGCACGCTGCCTACCGTGTTGGTGAGAGGTCTTTTTTTTGTGCCCCCACCTGCAGTTGTGCCAGAGGCTCTTTAGTGATGCCTCCCTCCCCATAGCTCTTACTTTGTTTGTTGTGGGGTCCGATGTACCAGATTGAGGTGCAGGGTGAAAAGGATGTACCTTCACTATGTGCCCACCCTTTTCTCCCAGGAATGCTGGCACTGGAGATGCTGGGTCGCCGGGCACACAACGATCACCCCAACAACTTCTCCCGCTCCCCCCCCTACACTGATGATGTCAAATGGTTGCTGGGGCTGGCAGCAAAGCTGGGTAACACCTCCCCTCCCCAGGACCATTGTCCGCCCCCACCCACTTTCCCCACCTTCCTGTCCCAGACCTCCTTCCTAGCTCTTGCTCAGAGTTGAGGCCTTGGTCGGGTATGTGTGCGTGCGCGGGGGGTGGGGGGTTACCTCAGCTCCTGGGGTGGAGGGAGGCTCTCTGCCAGGCCAGAGCTGAGAGATAAAAGTTGGGTCCCTAGGGCAGAGGTGGCCACCCCCGTCTCATGCCCCTCCCCCTGCCCCCCAGGAGTGAACTACGTGCACCAGTTCTGTGTGGGGGCAGCCAAGGGGGTGCTGAGCCCGTTTGTGCTGCAGGAGATCGTCATGGAGACGCTGCAGCGGCTGAGCCCTGCTCATGCCCACAACCACCTGCGTGCCCCGGCCTTCCACCAACTGGTGCAGCGCTGCCAGCAGGCATACATGCAGGTGACAACCCTGGAAGTATGGAGTAGGGTGGAGCACCTCCTGGGCAGGCATGGAACTGATTACCCCGCATGCTAGGGAGGACGGGCCTGGTTCTGTGCTTAGTGTCTCATCCTCTTCCAGTACATTCACCACCGTTTGATTCACCTGACCCCTGCCGACTACGACGACTTTGTGAATGCGATCCGCAGTGCCCGCAGCGCCTTCTGTCTGACACCCATGGGCATGATGCAGTTCAACGACATCCTGCAGAACCTCAAGCGCAGCAAACAGACCAAGGAGCTGTGGCAGCGGGTCTCACTCGAGATGACCACCTTCTCCCCATGAGTCTGGCCCCTCTAGGGTCCTATACAGGGATACAGGCCTGTGGCTATGGGGGCCCCTCACACAGAGGGAGTGAATCTTGGCTGGACAGATCATCCCCACTCAGTTCTCTGGTAGCCCAGACTGGCAGCTGCTCTTGGGCTGTAGCTTGGGGCCAAGATGTCTCAAACCCTAGAAGCCTAGGGTTGGGGGAGACAGCCCTATCTGGGAGGGGGCATTGGGTGGCCTCTGGTATTTATTTGGCATTTATAAATATATAAACTCCTTTTTTACTCTAGTCCGCCTGGGCCTTTGCCTTCTTTCCCTCCATGTGCAGATGAACTTTGAACCGGGGTGGGGGAAAAGACTGATACTTCCTTTATTCTAAGTTTCTCCCACTCCAGTGAGGCAGACAAAACAGAAAAATAAGGATGTTTATTAAGGACATTTCTAGCCCACAGCTAGGGCTCATACTCAGCTCTATGAGCCACTGTCCGGCCTCATCCCCATTCAATGTGAATGACATTAGGGAGGCCGGGCCACAGGTAGATCCCATTGATCCCACAGTAGGGGGGGTCCCTCCCATAGCCAGGTATAGATAGATATACTGCTGAGAATGAAGAGGGAAATCACTGGATTAATAAGTTCCTCTACACCTTGCCTGGACCCTTTCATTCTCACCCACCTTCAAAGACCATGGGTTGAAGGTGCCTAGTACCATGATGTGGGGTATCAAGGGAAGCCCCTTTATAAGACCCTAGAGCTATGGGAAAGGACTGCCCTTTCCTTCTCAGCCATCCCAGGCCTGGGGGCCACTGAGGTAGAAGGGGCTGGGCCACTCTAATACCCCTTGTGGGCCCTGCTCTGGGCTTGCCCTTTAGGGTAGCGGGGCGCTTTTGCTGGTACAGGAGGCCTGGACATCAGCCCAGACTGGAATGTTGCAGTTCTTCCCGAAGCCATGAGGGCACTGGCTGTCCAAGCCGGCTTAGCAGCTTCGACAGATCCAAATTGTGGTTCCGGAAAAAATCCATAAGAAAAAGGCGGGACTGAGAGGAGAAAAATGGAGGCAGAAATGGTAAGGAGTGGGACGCAGGATGAGACCTCAGAGGTAGAGAGCGATACCTTGTCTGAGGCTTTACTCACCTCAGTGTCCATATCCGGATACCTCCGGCCTTTGCTTTTGCCCAGACAACGAGTCTTCCCACCTTCAAGTCCCTGGCACCAGAATCCCTTATCTTCATCAAACCTGCTCAATAGCAAAAGGGCATTAATTGGTAGGGAGAAAAGAAAATTCAAGCCCCATAAATGTATATTACCTCTCCCAGCTCACAGGGACACATGTCTCTTCCAAACAGACATGGTCAACCTGTTTCCCCATTTCCCCGATTCCTCCTCCCCTGGGTCATGCTCTCCCACCTGAGGGTCCGTGTGTAGTTCAGAAAGGGTGTGATACCCAGGAACTTCTGGATGCTCTCCATTGAGGCAGCTGGGTTGGTACGCAGCTCTTGCCCATCCACAATCAGCAACTAAAGGGACAGAGATGTAGTTCCCTCTGTATTCCTTAGAAGCCTCTAGGCTGAAGGGACAAAGAAGGGAAGGGGGACCCCAACAAAGGCTACTGGGGGGCATGTACCTGTCCAGAGGGGTAGTAAGTCAGCCAGCGCTGCAGATGGGTGGAATAGTAGCCAGGGACAAGACAGCGGTTCTGCAGGGAGCGAAGTGCCAGAGGGGCCTGAGAGGAGGCTGAAATCACCTGGTAGAAAGTATAATTCAGAGCAGCTGGGTCTCCATGTGCTCGCTGGTGCTGAAGGACAAGGAATAGGAAAGGATGGGTGATTTGATAGAATTATTCTGCCCTACTCTTGACCTGATGAATACACAGCATAGGAATCCCACACCAAAGCAATTTAGTTTCCCTACCCTCTTCCTTTCTGTCTCTAGCAGTCACCACCTCCCTCACTTAAGCCCTAATGTATCCCTAGCTTCAGGCTCACCTGATACCAGGAGTAGGCCCTGTCAGCAGGGTTGGTGAGCACAGTGATGATCTTGGCTCGTGGCAGAAGGGCAGCCCCCCGACGTGGTACAACCTCTGAGTCAAAGTAGGTGGCACTTTTTTCAAAGAGAAAGTCAGTGCTGGCATTGGAAGGGACAGGGAAGAAGTCCATGTACCTAGGAAGTAGCACAGAGGAGAGGCAGAGAATTTGCAGCATGAAGGGGCCAGATACCTGCACTGGTGGAAGCTGGGATGAGGATTTGGAGGGAAGGGAATGTTCCTCTGAGAAGCATTACAAAGGGTCCCAGTCTCACCAATCAATACCCTTGTGGTAATTAGGGCCGTTGAAGAACTGAATCTCCTCAAAGGTGCTGGGGCTAGGGAAGCTGCTAGTCACAGCTGGGTGCAGGCTCAGGAAGAAGTGAATAGCTGTGGTCCCTAAATGGGAGAGAAGTCGAGGCTATTTTGGGAAAGAAGCCAGATCAACAATATGAATTTTAAGGAGGTGAGAAAATAACCACTCTGAGTAGTAATATCCCCTTTGGACAAACTAGAGTGAGAGAAGGAAAAGACAGCGAGACCCAGGGAAGTTAAAATAGTAGTTCTCAGCCTTGACTGCATCAGAATCACTTGTGGATCTTTAAAAAAAACAAACCACAGATGATTCTGATTCAGGATTAAGAATCACTGTCTCAAGAGACTGGATTAAGGAGAGGTGGGTATGAGAAGGGAATTCCTTGGCCAAAGAATCCTTTGGGCTTAAGGCAGGGCAAGAGAAGCTGGCTAAGGACGATTCACCTGTTTTCTGGGGTCCCACAATCAAGAACTTGGGTAGCCGATCACAGGTTTTCTCCTTGGACCAGATATCTTTGTGCCTCTTGTCATCACAGGGATTCTGAAGGTGAGGCCAAGAATCAGATGTTTCATCTTTTCTTCAACTCTCTCCACCCCCATCACGTCTCTGGTCAGCCTGAGCTCCAACCATACCTGCCAAAGGGGGCTTCGCTCTTGAGGGAACAGTTCAAAGTACTTTCGTGCAAGAGGGACAGGAGGAAGGGTCTGTAGGCGCAGCCGTGTCCAGCATTGAAGGAAACGCACCAGGCTCTCAAAGGTATACAGGCCCAGCCGATCATTTCCATAATTTGACAGATGGGTCATAAAAATGCTGATCTGCAAGAGGGAGCCTGCGTGTCAGAATTAGAGAGCCTACCCCACCTCAGAATCAGGCTTGGTGAGCAAAATTCCCAGCCTACATACACTTCAGCTCTCCAATCTTCTAGCCCTTCCTCTCAGCACCTTACCGGATTAAGCAGCACTGTCAGAAAGAGCTCTCCACCTCGGATGCTCCGGTCTAGTTCACGAGAGCCTCCAGGATATTCATTATAGAAGATTGTGTGAGTGAAGAGTCCACATGTCTGCCGTGGTAATACCTAGAAGAAGAAGGAAAAAACAAACTAACATGAGATTTGAAAGGCAGAATGAAAACTAAATAAAGGACAAAACACCTAAGGCATTAGGATTCCCTGGGTTTGTAAAGTACTGAGTTACACCAATAAAACTCTTACTATGTGCATTATGACTTTTCACCCCTTTACCCCCTATTATGTGAACTTGGACTGGCAGTTGAGAGGACACAGGTCAGTGCAGGTTGGTGGCTGTCTAAATGTAGGAGTTTGATTCAGGTTTGTATCAGGGGTCCCTCACCATAATGCCATTGTGAATGAAGCCACGGCGGTAGCGGGCAGGGCGGAGATGGGGATATTCCTCAGTGCTGGTCACCTGGATGCCCCACACAGATTTCCAGGCCTCATAGAGTTGCGTGTGGATGGGGTATACACCCGAGTGGTGGGGGGCCACAGCATACCCCAGATCCGTGGGAATCCCATGTTCCTGGGAATGGCATAGATTCTCACCAGGACCTGGTGAGGTTCAGGGAGTAGAGGGTAAAGAGGGTGGGGATACCTCCACAGAAAGACAAATGGAAAGGGTAGGGAAAGGGCACCCCATTAGGGGAAGGTTGAAAAGGAATCATTATGTCTGGGAAAAAGTATGGGGAACAGATCCAAGGGTCTCACCAGAGCAAACTGTTTGTTGAGCCTCATCTGGTCAGCCAGCACGGAGCGATTGTGGAACAGGTGTGGCTGCATGTGGCTCCACATGTGGGGGAACCACCAGAACTCTTTGCGGTGCTTCAGCAGCATGTCGTCCCCTGCATCTTCCTCCTCTGTCCCTATGACCACACACTGACCACTGACCACAGCCAGTCAGGCCCTGTGCCCTCCTCTGTTCTGTAACAACACTGACCATCTTCCATTCTTGGGATAAGATTGCTGACTTCTGCCCACCTGAGACTATTTTGCCCCAATGCTGACTTGCTCTTCAGCCACCCATGCTAACCTAAATTCATATCCACCGCTAGCTCCTCACCATATTTTGACCCCAAACCCTGCCCCTTTTCTCCAACTTGCCTGCCCAGGAAGATGAACAGTGAAGGGACAGTCCAAACTAAGACAGATATGCTGAAGGAACAGGGGAATACACTCACCAGTATGATAGAACTTGCCCGAGAAGCCCAAGTTGAAAGTGAAGTTGGGGACTAAGGTCCTGAGTTTGTTCTGGGTGGTCAACAGAGCCTGGGAAGAGTAGCAGGAACACAAGAAATCATGAGAGCAGACTGATCAGGAGAAAAATGAAAAGTAATGTTCTTCCTGCCTGAAAAGGGCAGGGAGTATACCTATGACAAGCTCAGAATCAAAGGAGTCTGATAGGACAGAGCTTGAAACAGCTTCTAAGGAAAGAAATTTGAGTCAGGAAAAAGACTGACCTCAACATCAGCCACCTTCATGCGGGTACCTTCCTTGCCCACAAAGATGTCATCAATGTCTACCAAGATGTAGCGGTCAAGGTCTAGGCAGAGGCGCTTGCCAGTGAGGTATGCAACAGCATCAACAAAAACAAGTTTGTGGAGCCAGAAGGAAAGGCCATGGCCAAAGAGCACCCGCTGGATGCCATCATGAAGCCCCAGGTCTTGTACGACAGTGGGAAGCCGGGTCCGGCGAGGCACTGGTCCTGGCACAGGGGATTCAGCTGGCCGAAGGCTGGCAAGAAGCACTGGTTCATATGTGCTATGATTGGATTGGAAGATGGTCCAGTCATCACCAGGCAGCGGCCCAGGTTCCAGGCGGCTGGGGCGTGTGAGATGCAGTAAGGGGGCAGAAGGATTCACTTGGTAGTCCCGGAGCCCCAAGTTTGAGTGTAGGAAAAGGGGAAAACCCTTGAGCTGGGCACTCAGTAGGCTATGTTCATGGGCTCGGAAAAAGCCAATGATGCCCACACCGTACTCCACACAGTACCGGTCTAACAGTTCCCGACTCCAGGCATCCAGGTTGACATACTTGAGCAGGTTTTCATAAATGACCAAGACATAGCGGCCACGGGTATGATCAGTCAGTGTGGGCATGTCCCCTCGGCCGGGTGCTAGCTCAGTGCTATAACGAAAACGACTAGACTCCAAGATGGCCACAATCTCCTGCCCCAGCTGTGAGTATGCACTCTCCACAAACACAAGGACCACAGGTTCAGTTCGAGCTGTCTCTGGTGGCCTGGGGGGCCGTGGTGGGACTGGTGGACGTACAGGGCCAGGGCCAGCTGCCCCACCACTGCTGCAGTCTCCCAAGGGCAGGGGCAAGGGTTCCTTGGCCTTGGGGCTGGTGGATACGTAGTAAGCCAGGAAGCCCATGGAGCCCAGACTGAAAGCGATCAGCAGCAGTATGAGGCGGTGCAGTTCCAGCTGCCGAGCTGGGCGTACCACCTTCCACAGCTTGAGCATGGCGGGGAAGGGGAGGCAGGGATGGGGTCTACCTCAGGGGATGGGAGGTAGGAGTTCTATAGGCTGGGCTCTCTTAAGAGGGTAGGATAGGAAAGTAAGGGAAAATGATTTCCTCAGGGTTAGTTCCCTGAAAAGTTGGAGCCAACTCCCCTTACTTTAGGGTAGGGGAGTTAGAAGGGGCAACGAGGGGCAACTGGACACAGTCCACTGGTCTCAAGTCACCATGGCCCCCTGGTCCATGGCTTCAGGATGCAAATCTAGCCAGGCTCCACTCTTGGTCCTGCTGAGCTCCTCACATTAGAGGTCAACAAAGTTCATAATCCCTGCCCTCACTATCTGTAACACAGAAAAATCAATGGGTTACTTCTCCACCTGAAAGTGTATCATTAACCCATTCCCCTCTTCACCCATCTCTCTTACCTCCTGCTCACAGGATGATTTGTTCTCCAAAAAAAAAAAAGCTCCTGTAGAAGAACAACACAATCTGAGTCTCATACCTTCACTTCATAGCTTGTTGCCTTTCTTAGAATATAAATTCTCCTTCCTGAGCTAAACTCAGAGCTAGAGCAGTCTATTCAAGGGCTGGAAGGGAACAAATCTCCCATCAAAAGGAGACCAAACAGCTCAGGAGGGTGAAAATGAACCTGCTCTGGAAGAAGTTCCCAGCCCACGACTAAGCAGTTGGCCAGCCAGCAGGAGCTCTGGTCGTCCTGTGAGGAAGGGACAGAAAGCCCCACAAGTTCCGTGCTCCAATGAAATACGAGATAAGAGGAAACTCATGAGTCTGTTAATCTTCCTCATCAATCAAACCCAACATCACAAGCTAGAAGCACTAACGAACTTGTAGTGAGAACACTATGATGGGGGGTGGGGAGATTCGAAAGGTAAAAGAAATGGTGCTACCTAATCATTCGATTCACTTCCAAACCCAGAAACTCTCTATTACTTGTGAAAAATTACTCATCCCCTGTCCTTCATCTCATCTGCACAAGTGTCAGAGAGGTGATAAAAATGTAGCCCCAGGGCAGACCACATCACTGGGGCCTGAGAGAAGCCAGAGGGCTGAGTCCAGTCTGTCTTCCTATCACTTCAGTTCACCTTCCTAACTTAGCCTAGGTGATACTATATCCTCATCACTGAACAGCTCAGAAGGGTCCTGAGCTAGCCTATGGAGACATGAGGGATTGAATCCTGTTACAAAAAGATAGCAAACTTAGTGGGGCTGGATGAGAGCTACAACAGCTTAAGTCATACCCAACCAGTAAGAAAGGGGTAAGGACAGTGTGATCAGAAAACAGTTTCAGGGAGACCTAATTTTGGAGACTGTTTTCTTAAATATATAGACTGCTTCTAGAAGCTTTATTGTTGTTCTCTCCAGCTTAGCCATTCCTAGTAAGGCCAGGGACTGGCAATCCTTCTCTGCTACCCACTCCCAGGCATATACATCTCAGGGGTGAGATCAGGCAGAGACAGGGTTCCTCAGAATTGAGAGAGATGATTTAAGAACAGTTCAGCTTTGGCCTGGGTAAAATTGACATGAAAAGAAAGCTGGGGAGAGGACTGAAATAGTGATGGGAAGGGGTGAATCCTAAGAATTAAAGGAAACTCTTTAGGGAAAACACAGTAGTGAGAAGTCCTCACTGACACGAAGTGGACACTCAGGGTGTCTCCCCCATTACTGTTAAGAATAATTGTAAATAGTGAGAGCTTACTCTTTGTCAGACATTCTTCCAAGAGCTTTCCATATATTTAATGCTCACATCAGCCCTGGAAGGTAGGTAAGAGGCAGACACTATTATTATCCCCATTTTACATGTGAGTAATTTGAGGTCCAGAGAAGCTTAGTCACTTGCCCAGGATCACACAGCTCAGTCAGTCAGTGGAGGAACTGGGATTCAAAGTCAGGCCTGTAGAGCTCCACAGCCCGTGTTCTTAACCACTGCATGTTGGCTTCACACCTAGAAGAAGCAGCAATATTTAGGGAAGGGGTGCTGAGGGAGCTATTGGGGTCGAGTGTGGGATGGGATGACAGATACCGAAGCAGGAACGCGGGGAAAGGGTTGCTGTACGTGTGAGCAGCAGCGGGAGGTTTCTGAGGCAGAAACCAAAGGGGTCACCCAGGCCTGGGCTGGGCGACAGCACTAGTGAGAGGAACCAGGGAAGGCGGGGAGACGAGTGGTGCAGATGCCGCGGGATGGGGGGGGGGGGGGGGGGAGGGGAAATACCGAGAGGAGCAACGACATTAGAATGCCAGGGCTTCTACCACTTCCGTCAGTCAGTCCTGAGTAGAGGGTCCCTGCTGAGGGGGCCATGGGGTCACAGGTGGATATGAAGGGAGCGCCAGATGGGGACCGGGCAAGGGACACGCCGAGGAGAGCTTGGGGTGACATCGAGGCAAGCATTGGGCTGGGAGAGCCCCGAGGGGAGGAGGAGCCCCCTACTGAGGGAAATGAAGCAACTACGAGGGAGGCTAGCGGAGGGGACGCAGGAGAGGGGAGCGCTGGGCCGCGCTGAGGGCCGCCCGGGACAACCCCGCGGGTGGTTATGGTGGCAACACTGAGGGGAAGTCTGTGAGGGGAGGGACTGCGGGAGACCGTGGGTGGGGGCCACCCTCTGAGTGGGGGGTGGTTACCCTCAAGGGCGGCTCACCCGGCGGACTAGGCGGCGTCCCCGCTGTCCCCGGGCTCCGCCGCGTCCCGGGGCTGCCCGGCTTCCCAGCTCTCGGGGCCTTGGGCCGCGTCGCGGCGGCTCCGCCATCTCCGAGAGAACGCGCTGCCGCAGCCGGGCCCAACCACCGCTCCCACCCGGGGTGGGGGGAGGCGGCTCGCTGCCGCTCGTGACGCCCCTCAGGTCCCCGCAGAGTCCGGGCCTGGCAGCTGCACTGCCGAGGTGCTGGGCGGCCGAACAGTCCTCCGTAGCGCTCGGTCGAGCCTCGGCCTCCGAGACGGCGGGCTGCGCGCCCCGCCCGCAGAGGCGCACCCCCTCCTCCCCGCCCGGTGGCACAGTCTGGCGAGCGTCGGGCGCCGCGGCTCCCGGGGCAGGGGCGGGCCCAGGGTTCGGGCTCGTCCACTCAGCCCTGCGAAGGGGGAGCCGAGTCGGGCCACTGAGGGGCGAAGGGGGCGGGGCAGCCCGTGACGCGGGCGGGGCCCGGGGGCGGGGCGAGACCCCTAGCCCGCCAGCTAAGGGTCCACATCTTTTCTCTCCACCCCAAGCTCGCGTCAGCAGCCCAGTGGGCCAGTTGGAGGTTGATGAGTTTATGAGGAAGTTTTATTTTACAGTGGGCCCAAAGGGAGGTGGGAGAAGCTACATCTCCTCATCTGAAGGCTTGTAACCCAGGCTGCTCCAATCAGCCTTTGGCCATAAGCTTCCAACAGCAGTAACACAATGGACTGTTTAAAGGTTATTTTATTAAATATCTTCAGTTCAAGGTTTCATTGTAACAAAGCTATGAAGGGTCTACCAACATTCAGAACAAACACTAACTATTTTTAAATTATTTCTATGTCATCATGCAAAAATTCTGCATCAAATGCCTTCCATTTCCTGTTTAAAAGGTGATTTTTTTTTTTATAGTCTATTGTCTATAGATGCTGACATTAGCCCCAGAAGAGGAGTAAGAATGCTAAGAAGTGGGGCTGGAGCAGCCATATGAAGCTATGGGTCTTAATGAACTCTAAGACCATTTGTCTTCAAGCCAGCAAAACCAAACCCTGTGGTGAAGGCGTCTGCGTGCTGGTACTGCAGGCTGCAGGGCAAGAAAGGGCTGGGGCCCAGGGGATGAGGCATGCATGAGGTGCTCAGAGGAGCCTGGCTAAACCCAAGCACCAGCACCTGTGAGTCTGCTCTCTTCTCAGCTGGCTACAAGGTAAACCTGTAGCTCTGCCTCTTCTCCCAGCTCCTGTGCCTCCTGAAGATAGTTCAGGAAGCTGGGATTTACCCACCTTTCCCCCAATAGTGCAGATATTTGTGCAGATAAGTCTGCATAGTTGTTCTGGGGGAAACCAAGGCCATGACCAGTTGCTCCTCCATTATCTTCTCTGCTATCTGCTTAGGGTACAGATCTTTCCTTCCTGGAATGGAACTCCTTGAGCACAGAGAGGGACAATGAATGTAGGAGCCTTGGCTCTGGACACCTCTTTTGGGTACATGCAGGTGAGGGGGGGGTGATGCCCATGCAGATTGTCCAGCAGTAAGTCATATACTTCAGTTGGTCAGTAGAGAGGCCTCTTTAAAGAGAACATCTCTTCTTGCCAGAGCAGTCAGGTCAATCTCAAAGACAGGTAAAGAGATGGGCGTGCAGCAAGGGAAGAGTAAGAAGGGAGGCAGTCCTGAGGGCAGCCTGAATGCATAGAAACAACCATCAACTCAATCCCGCTGCCTCACTCCTCCCATCCCACAGGGGCACTTGGCAGAGGGCCCAGGCCCAGATGAGGGTCAGCACAGGGACCACCACAATGAAAAGTCAAGACAAAGATGGTCCAAATCGGCACAGAAACAGAACTGCCAAAGGCAGCAAGGGGAGCCCTGACCAGGGCCTGACTCTCTCCTTGCTAAGTTATAAGAAAACAAACACAAAGCAAAGCAGCAACCCCTCCCCTTTCCCAGCTGCAGGTATTGGGCCTCAGTATCAGGGCCCACGTGCATTGTGCATCCTATAGAAATGGATGAGTAAGTGAGTACATGTCAGACTAACACGAGGTTTCTCAACAGCTTTGTGGCGGACACACTTCTGCAGCACCAATTCTCTTCCTTTCTACACTAAATGGAACAGTACAGCAATGTCCAGGCCCTCAGTCCCGAGGCCACTGCTTCTCAGCTGCCTCCACAGCAGGCTGGGAGCTCTGTGTTCTCTCACAAGTAGGTCTGATGGCCACGATGTTCTCATCAGCCTCATTCTAGGCGCTATGCAAGTTCAGAAGAAGTCCATTCCTAGACCTGGGGCAGGCAGGCCACCTCAGGGGCTGCAATCACATCACAGCCCCCAAAGCTCTGTCAGAGTTCTTGCCTGGTCCCCTGAGTCCACGGAGGCCAGAGGCCGAGCTCACCTCTTCAGGGCTGGTGGGTGAGCCGGCTGCTCATGCCAGGACGGGTGTCACACAAACTCCTGCCTTCTTGCCGGCCCAAGGGCTATCGGTGGTTTTAAAACGCATCATGGTATGGATTCCATTTTTTTTTAAACAATCTTTTTTTCTTTTTTTTTCTTAAATGTAAAAAACACCTCGGTACAGCAGAGACAGACACGAAGGGCGGGCGGGAGGGCTGCATGCAGGGGCGTGCATTGGCTGCTGCCGCTTTGTAATTTAATTGTTTTAAACCTCAAACGAACAGGACTGCCGCTGTCACTCAGGCCCTCCAGAGCCACTGGCTGCGAAGGTTTGACCTCCGGCTGGGATCTCCTAATGCCCCTGTCAAAGAGGACAGACGTGGTAACAGAACAAAGGACAATAAGCACACAGATGAGTTCCAGGGACTTAAACACACTAGACATGTGGCCAAGTCTGCCTGAGAAGGTGGAGGATGGGGGAGAAGCTAGCATTTAAATATAACATTGCTTCACATTTGCTAAGCAAATGCTTTACTTCTGAGTATCTTATTTAATCCTTACAACTCAATGAAGTAGGTACCACTCTTTCTCTCTTTTTTGACAGCTAAAGAAACAGGCTTAGGGTAGGGAAGTAACCTGTCCAAAGTCACCCAACTTAGAGTCCTAGGGCCAGACACAAGTCTGTCTGACAGCCTTTGCCACTCCCCTGGGATGATCCATATCTCTTCCCCTAGTGCCACTTCTCAACCTCCTCTCCCTCCTCTGATCCCATCTGTCCCCCTCCTCACCGCCCCCCCCACCAGGTGCACCTGTGGCTGAGCTCACTGCAGCGGTGCAGCAGGGGCTCCTGAGCAGTGATAGTGGACATTGAGCCACTTGCCATCCCGGCGGTGCCAGACCCGGGTCTCCTCCGACTGGCTGGTGCGAGGCCGACCCTGCCCATCGATGTACTGGGTGAGGCGGATGTAGGCGATGCAAGCTGCGTCCTCCCCAATCACGTGGACGTGCGGGTTCAGGATGGTGGTGTGGATGGGCTTGCTGTTCTTGGATAGAACTGCAGAGGGCAAGGCAGAGTGCAGTAGGTAGGAGGGCATCAGGCCTGGGCACTGACATTTTCCTCCCAGCCTGCTCTTCCAGGTCTCACCCTCTTTTCCAGCAACCATTCTGGGAGTCCCTAAGTCCCCCATATACCAAAGGCCAGGAAACCCCATAACAGTAGTCTCAGTTATCCAAATGGAAGAAAGAGGTGGAGAACAATGATAATAACAACTACTACTTTAATCAGACATTGCACTAGGGGTTTTACATACATAAACCATTATTTCTTGGTCAATATTATTTTCTTTATTATGAAATAATGAAGCAGGCTCAAGGAGGTTAAGTAATTTTCCCAAATCACACAACATTTGAACTCAGGACCATCTGACTCTTAACTAAAGCCTATGATCTTTCCATTCTTCCAGGCCGATGTTTAGATTTCATAAGGGTTGGCTTGACCCTAACTGGCTGCAGAGCAAAATCAAGAGCTTAAGATTTCAAAATTGATTTGTGATTTGGAAAAAAAAAATGTCCAAAGTTAAAATAGAATCACCAAAGCACCAAGCTCAGGATATTCCTAGGGTTCCCAGATTCTGCTGCGGGAAGGCCAAAAGAAGTTGGATTGCCATTATCAGCGAACACTGTGAACTGTGTTGCTTTTAATGAGATTCACATTTTAATTCATTTCAAATGTTAGACAGGGTCTACCTGAGACCCTCCCTAGGGCTTCTATAATCTCTGAAACTGCTTCTGGCTAACAGAATTACTTAGATAGCCAAGGGTTTACATTTGCAGCTGACATGGAGAGGATGGTAGTTAGTAGAAAAAAACTGTGACAAAAAAAAAGCCACAAAAAAACAAAACAAACAAACAAACAAACAAAAAAACCTCAGGGCAGGATGGGGGAAGGCCTGGGATAAAATGGGAAAGAAAAGAAAAAAAAAAAAATAGGGAGGAGGAGGGTGCTAGAAAGTGGAGAGAAAGACAGGAGGAGGTGGTGATTCATCTTCTTATTCCCTGGAACTTCCACGAACTGTCCAGAGTCCAGAGTATACAGCCCCTCAGCCAGGACTGCTTCCCTCCATATTCAGGAGGCCCCAGCCACAACTTCTGATCTCACAAATCACCCACAGTGCCCTGCTACTTGCTTGTACATTCTTATCCTGGTTTTAATTTCCTCTACTGTGAAATCTATACATACAGAGCTTCATTACTACTTGCTGACGTCATCTCAACCTAATCTCAGTGGTTTCCAGTCATTGTGGAAAGAGGTGAGGCTTAAAGGAATCGTGACCCTGATTGTGCCACAAAGCAGCTGCAGAATGACGGGGCACGTGGGGCTCTGAAGCAAGTCCTTCAAAGGTGTCAGTTTAAGACCATCCTCAGGGCACAAGGAAGCAAACACATAGAACAAGGTGCAGCCAAGCAGGTCAAATAAGGGAAAAGCAGGCAACTGGGAAGAGGAGATGGTGAGCAGGGACAGAGGCAAAGGGGGTAAAGGGTCAGGCAGGAGTATATCAGCAGCACGAACCCACTCACGATTCTCAAAGTAAAACTTATGGAAATCCATCCCCTCCACGAGGTTACCAAGGGCCTCAGGTTCAAAGGAAGTGAGGCCTGGATCGCAAATCTTCCTGCAGAAAAAAAAAATAGCCTGTCAGTCTCCTATAGGATTACTTGTCTTTCTTCCTTGTCAGTGATGTCTGTCCTGCAGCATGTTAGCTGCGGGCTC